ACTAATCGCTACTATCACGCACGCTAACGAAAGGACTAAGTGCCCGGTTCCTTGAGGGCATCTACAACGCGAGCGCTAAGACGGGACGCCAGGGTCAAAATCCCATCCGTCATGTCTTATTCCCAGCCAAATCCAGCTCATTTGTTAGCGCCGCAGCAAAGTTAGGCGTCGAGAGCCTTTTCGCTTGACGTTTCTGTTCATTTTTAACTCGTGGAGCGCCTGTTATTTGCGACTTGCGTTGGAGATGCAGACTCTAGCACAGACGCTTAGCCTAAAATCCTTACCATAAGCGCCTATTTAACTGCCCATCAACCAGGATACTGATCCTAGCGCCATGCATTGTAGATGCCCTAATGAGTTTCATATACGTCCTCTTTATGTTTCGGATTTCATGCTATTCTCTATGCTCCATTTGCATCTTGCCCTCTTCTTCCAGCTTTCACATGTAAGTACATAATACTCCAGAATGTAAGGTGCATTTCTTCCTTTATATAAGGTGTACATAATACTCCATGATTTCACGCTATTCTCTATGCTCCCTCCGTTCCTTTATATAAGGTGTATTTATTTTTTGATAAAATTTTAGAATGTAAGGTGCATTTCTTCTAATTTCTCATAATTCCGTTGTTAGCCCTTCAAAAAAAAGTATCTCTCTTTTGATTGTCTGTATCTCTCTTTGTAGAAAAGAATGAGACTATCTCTATGTCGATTGCATGCATCTCTTACTTTTCTGGACTAACTGATTTACTTGCCACTAACCAATAAATTGGCCAAGGGTAATTTCGTCCCAACATGTCTATAATTATGTGTCTTGGTCACCGTGCCGAAAATAATACACCTTAGATAAAGGAATGGAGGAAATATAAGTGTAATGTATGTCCCCCTATTCCGGTTCTTCTACGGGTTGCACATGTAAATACATAATAGGTGTAATGTATGTCCCCCTAGTTGTATGTGGTGATATGGTATATGTTATATAAAACGTATACTGGATGTATTAACTCCCTTCACAAATATAAGATGTTCTGACTCTTTTGTGAACCAGATGTATATAGACATGTTTTAGTGTGTCTGTTCTCTCATTTCAGTTTGTACATAATCCATATTGAAATATTCAGAAAATGTGGATGAGGGAGTATGTAGGTACTACCTTGAAAGTCGCTGCCCAGGAAGGCAGATGGACCATTAATGCAAATTTTACCAAAGATAAAAACGGATGCACACATGCTAAAAAAATACTTGAAAATCTCAGGGCTATTTGGAAAGTTTATAAGAATAATCATAGAAAGGGAAATCTGACTCGCATATAAAGCCAATGCATTCCTGCTTATATTAACAAGTAATAACCTCTGTATCTAAATATAAGACTTTTTGCAGTTCAATTTTTGGGAACAGAGGGAATAATATATTGGACTATCTAGAGCATCGATGACGGGCAAATTCTCAAGGATAGAAGGATGCAGTTGCAACAAATCCAAAGCTAAAATAAACAAAAATACAAGACTTACAGAACAAATACAAAATGAAAACAAAAGTGACTGGAATTTTACAAAGGATGTCGCTAGGTCTTAGTCGACTCAGACTTAAGTAATTCTCACTCAAGTACATAACATATAAGAAAAAAAACTAAAATTAATTTTCTGCGCAAATCTCCATGCAAAATCTCACAAATATAGCATTGACTGAGACATAACCAAATCTCAGTCAACTGAGATTTAGCAACACTGTTTCAACAAAATATAAGGCGTTTCAAAAACCAGGGCCCTGAAATATGATACACAGAAGTTTCAGAAACTAGGGCCCTGAAATAGGATTAAGATGGACGCTAACGGTGTGTATGCTAGTAGAAAATGTTGGCATCCTGTCCAAATTAGGTCTTGCTCTCATCCCGTTCCTCATTCAAACCCGTCAAGAAGATCTGAGTCCATGTTTGAACCCCATCCATCTATGACAGCTCCAGATGAATGTGCATAGTTATCACTTCACTCTGAACCGCTAGATCCATCCAAAATATCGGATCAACGACTAGGCTTGCCTCTTTACTCTGGTGAAAGATAAGTAAATATACAGCAGTATTGATAACCAGATCCCTGAATTGCTCCGACCAACCCATTCTTGCTGCTGGGTGTTATCACACTGTTCTGATCTTCACACTGGATTAATTGACCTGAGATTGCTAGAGAAACCAGTAAATCAATGACAGCGATATAAGAAAAATCAACGCCAAACGTCAAACTTGTAAGCCCTTCGAAAGGGAAAATCTAGGACAGATTACATAGCCCCACAGGAGTCAGCATAAGCTGCTGCAACAATGTTATGTCCCCATCACCTAAGATATGATCGCCGTCATGGCAAGACCAGAACAACACAGAAAAATGGGGGGAGGGAGAACACAAAGGAGATAAGCGATTGGGGAGAATAACCGTCACTTTTTGCTACTCGAGAAAGAAGAGTAACAGTGTCGCCTGCATCACTCTCGTTCAGCCACTATTGGGTCCACTTGTCATTCTCGTTCTACATAACAGAGTGCAATCCACACGGACCCAGACTCTGGGCCCACCCATCAGCAAGCCGCCACCCCGTTGGCAACTACGGCACTGATTTGCTCTGTTTTCTTGTTCCTGGTCTATTTTGCCACTGCATCCTGTCAATGCTGGTACTGTAGCTCATCATGACAAATAATTGCAGAACGAGTATATATGCTGCAAGCATCTGCCAATTTGTAGATGCAGGATTGCCAAATGATAAGACTGCACTCCACTAGAATAGATTCAGCTCTGACCTGGATTAGATGAACTTTAGCGCTGTTTACAGCTGGTCCTCTAACAGTAAGGAACCATAGGCAGAGCCGCGGCGGAGAGGGTTGGCATGCACGGCGAGAGCTCATCCATGGAAGTCAGGTGTAGGTAGTTTGCGGTGCGGGGAAATTCCTTGGTGCCTTTCCCTTGTGATTGTCATGCGAGAACTTTCAGCAATTTTAAAGTTGATCTTCTGCCTTTCTGCTAGCAAGGTCCTGGTGGAGATGCCCATCTGATCTGCAACACTGTAACTTTATTCCAACAAGATTGTGATATGTTGAGCATATTCCATTAAAAAAAGTTGGTTGTGATCTCACCGTACATTAGCATGTCCCCAAGAAATTTTGTATCAGTACACATGCAAACTAGTTATCCAAATGTCAACAACTGGTTCGTACCATGGGCAGAGGTCCCTTGATGCCAAAGGTATCCGTGGCCCCCCTCCTTGGTCGACAAATTTCTTCGGAAACACTGATTTATACCACTTAAATAACACAGATACTAGGTTGAGGATCCTATTCTTAGTTGGTTTCCCTCAATCTTTTTTCCTCAAGCTCTTGGTACTACATACAGTTATGTTTTCTGGAAAAACTGATGGTACCATTTTACCTCATGCTTTCTTTAAGGCCCGTTTTGTATGAAGGGATTGTAGGAATTTTGGAGATATAACTTGTCTTCTGCAAAGCTCTTGTATACCAATAGGCCTAATGTTATCTTGCACACATGCTGACTAGAAAAGGTGAAGGAAAAGCTTTGGCACAGTACGGAGCACTTATTCCGAAGTTTATGCAGAATTAAAGAGTACAGTTGTCCTCACCTTTTATTCCCAACTGAAAATACAAAATCTGCATGGATTCTTCATCACGCTGCTGATTGCCTGATATGGATGTTTGTGTGGAGAGCCGAGACAGCTGGATGTTGTACTCTTGCAGGTACAATATCAGTTTGAATGCGAGCTCCAGGTGATAGCACCTATCTCCAAATGCCCATTTGCCCATTTGTATCATCAAGGGTGAAATTTCTGCTCGTGCCAGATTTCAAATGCTATGGGGAATCTGGAATATGGCTTGATTCTGACAATATCGAAGACATTGATTCTGCAACTTGAACCAGGAGATGCTCATCCATACCTGTTTCTTCCGGCTGGTCATGTGCAGCTGTATTTTGTACAGTGTGCACAATGAAAGAGGTAACCAAACATGAGTACATGGGTAGATGATATCAAAATGGAAAAAAGACGAATATATATTCCATTTTGCACATTAGAAGAATTAGAAATCCTCACATAGTCAAACCGGCTACCTCATGATATCCAAGTATAGAAAGATTAAGCTTGCCTAATCTGGTTATACGATGTCATAGTCCCAAAATGTCTGAGTTTGCTAAAGTAATCACAATAAGACATCCTGCTATTCTCAAGTAAACAAGAACAGCCGCATCCTGTTAATTCATTACCATGATTTAAGGTCTTCAGCATTTTCTTGTGAACCTCTCTGGCTGTTTTTATGGTCCATGTGAAGCCTCAGTAGGTGACAACTCTGTAAGATAGGACCTGCGAATACTTTTCCACTCAAGGGTGAAGGGCAAAAGTACTAGATACTACCATTGCTGTCAAGAACAATGAAAAATTGCTTATGACCTGTTTCTACCTCCCCGGGTTTCATACTCTTGCATTCTGATGTTGATCAAAATATTCTTTCTAAAGCTGAGTGCTCACCACTCAAAGAAGTATCGTTGAACATGAAATGACTCGTTGCAAACCTTTGTCCTAGTCCAGGCAAGGCGTCATGCAGGGGAGGCTAATTCTTGGAGCTTTAAACAGACCTCCAGATCTTTGGGGAATATATGCAGGAACAACTTACCATATAGGCCATTCACTAAGATTATGGCCAGCCACAGCTACAACTAGGCCATCTGGAGATTGATAGGTGCTCAACATTTCCATGCAACAAAGAACTATAAGGAAAATAATAATATTTTATGAAAAGTTAGATTCCATTTGCTCATAGTGCACAATGGAATGTTGTGAACATAAAGTTGGATGCCTCACTCCTATAAATTTACGACGAACTACTCTGTTCTTCCACACAGAAAATTTTCAGCCAGCCCTTCCACCATATTGAGCATTTCCCACTGCCTAGTCGACCAAAGTGTCAGTAAAATCCTCTGGCATAGCCTTCCGTTCAATAATAATACCGAGTTATGTCGCGCGGCAGGGACCCTTTGGCACTGAGCCAGGTAATTGGTGATGTGTTGGATCCTTTCATAAAGTCAGCTGCCATGATAATTAATTATGGTGAGAAGGAGATTACAAATGGCACTGGGGTACGATCATCTGCCGTGCTCAATGCACCACAGGTGCAGATTGAAGGTCGTGACCGGACGAAGCTCTACACACTTGTAAGTGACACAATATATGTAGCTCTACATACTTGTAAGTAACACAATATCTTGTAGAAAAATGATATGTGTAGTTTGCAGGTTTATTGGGCATTGTGTTAGATAGTATGAAAAATGACCTTTGATCCAAACGAAACTTTAAAAAGAAGATGACTCTCGTGTGAGGGGTGGTGTCTAGAATAATCAGATAAAGTAATCATAGTTAGTGACGCATACGCTGATCTATACAAGCTCCTTACTCAAAGCAACCTACATTTAGAAACCCTTGGTCTGAATGATGTTTCTAAAAGAAGTATACCTAACTTCCACAGATATATGTTCCATGGGTGATTTTTTATAATGAAATACGAGAGATATAGGTCACAAAGAATATTATAGTGAGAACAAGAACATCACACAATAACCATTGGGAATGATTAAGTATCGTACATGCTACTTTAGAATATATGTCTGCAGCCTATGTTAGTATCTTGTTTGTACAGTGCTATACAAGAATATTGGACAGGATAATCAGTCTGTTTTGCTTAAAGTTCGAGTTTGAAGCTCTTCATGTTAAAGTTTGGCATACATGCATGCTGCTATGAACATCCTCTACGTAACTGAATAAACAAAACTACCCAGAAAATTAACCAGAATGTCCCTGGAATATCTCATATCCAGCCTGACCCCGCTAGCTATATAAAAGTGTATAAAAGAAGATACCTGACCACCCTGCTTCCCACTATAGCATTCTTCCTTTTGTTCTGTAGAATTGTGTCCTGGCTCCTCTATAAGGTATGCAACTGCCTCTTTTGTATTTATCTCAATGCTAAGATAGAAACATCCCATCTTATAAGGTTATGGTGGATCCTGACGCGCCAAGTCCAAGCAAACCGGAATACAGGGAATATTTGCATTGGTGAGCATGTTATATTTTTTACACAGTACTGCATAGTTTCTTCCTTAACCTCAATGATGACAAATTTCTTAAGAAACCTACGAGTGCTTCTTGCAACATTGTTTTTATGTTTATAGTTCAAGAACCCCTTACCTAGATAACCTGCAGGATTGGAATGCAGCCCTCTCAAAAAAGGAGGGGGGTGTTTCTTTTCCATCCATCAACAGCTGAAGAACTCTTGTTCTGTATGCTATTGGGTAAGAAAGTACAGTATTGTGGTAACCTAATTCTTTTCTAGCACCATTATTCCCTTAAGCTGAGTCTCTTTGTTTAGATTGCCATTTTACCAACATTCATGGGTTTTCCTGTAGATACTGTTGGGTAGCCGGAAATTAAATAAGCAAATATTGCAGCATAAATCTTAATAGTTTCTACAGTCTCCAAGAAGATGTTTTACCAACTTCTCATGGACTAGGTACTCTGCAAATTTGACTATTAATTACTTCAAAACACAAAGTAGTGAAAAGATGGCACTTAATAAGGCATTAAATACATTAATTGAAGAAGGCATTAAATATGACATCAATCAACATGAAAAGCATCAGGACAAGCATGGATGCAATCTCAATAGTACTGTTAGGGGAAATAGAAGCAAAAAAAGGCTGACAGAGACTATTCAACAGAAACAAGCGGTAGAGCTAAGCAGCTAATGCTTAAAGTTAACATGTACAGTATTGCTCAGACGACATTTATTTGTGTTAAACTGAAAACTCATTCTGTTCAAGTTTATTTTATGAATGCCAAAAGTTTGTGCTAGGAATATCCAGAAGCAAACCACAGACGCAGAAAAATTGAAGGAACCTGCTAATTATAAAATAATACAGAACAGTGGTCACTGTTAGGTTACATATAAGTGCTGTGTACACAGTGTACCCTATTGTATAAGGGGTTCCAAGCATATTTCCCTCACCTGTACCTCTATATATACAGGCCTTTGGCCTTCTAGTAATACAAGTCGCTATTACTCTAACAGCCACATTTCCTGCTGGATACACTTACGACTAACTGATTTTGTACCAAACACTGGCATTTCCATAGGTTCCTCTGACCCAACATGCTGCCTACTTGTGACACCAAGGTTTTTGTCTGGCTAATTGGTCATTTTTTTATTAGCTGCTTGCTATTAAGAAAGTATCACCAATCTAAAAATACCATATAACTAATAAATTAATCGGATCCATGTTTCTTCAACTTAAAACTCCTTAACAAACTTTCCATTTAATCATACATGTTTTTTTTCTTAATTTGACATGATTTAGGCATAGGTTTATGTAGCTGATTATATCATGTATGAGCAGTCCTGTTGCTGATCAGATCTAATGGTGATATCGTATTGGTTATTTTGTACAGGTTGGTGACAGACATCCCAGAGGCAACAGATGCACGTTTTGGTGGGTAACGCCTTACATAATCTCCAATAGTCGACCAATCATACATGACATATGCAGACTGCTGAACAATTTATCATATAGCACAATCGGCAAACTACTCAGATTATTTTGGTATCAATCTTTCCACAATTGTTCCACGCACAAAAAAATGATATTCATTAACCTGGCTTAGCCAATCTGTTAGGCTTAGGCTAGCAAATAGGCACGCTTCTCTGCTATTCAATCAAGGCTGCAAGCAGATTTTCAAATTTTAAACAGAATTTGAAATGCTTTTAGCAGAGTAAACAGAAATTCCATAACATGCCACAAGCTCATGAGTTTACTAATTTTATAATCGCATTTAGTGGTAGGCAATCAAATGATCTAACTCCTTTTTCTATATGCTCGCTAATGAAACCGTTCCGCCTGTTGATAGTCTATCTTCAACTTCAATATTTCTATGTTTGTGTATGGATGCAATGGTGGATATGCAGTACATGATATTGGCCTGTAGAGACCAACCACACATATAGCTTAAGGTATATATAGTTTGAGAAAAAGGTCAACAAATAAGGCATCACAGGCGGCATTGCCTATATTTACTGAATTTACAGTGAGTAGAGAAGGAACAGGCTCGGCAGTAATGACACTGAACTACAGGAAATATCTACATCAAACTGATGAGGAGCTTGCCGCCCAAAATAGTTAGAACAGTGGCAGTCCATATTGTGAAATGGTCAAATTTATTCTTCACCTTAAAAAAAATTGAACTGTGCAAAGCAAGTCTAATATAGAACATACAAATGTTTCAGGCAATGAAATAGTTCCCTATGAAGCTCCACGGCCACCAGCCGGTATTCATCGGCTTGTTTTTGTGCTATTCAAACAGGAAGCACGGCAGACAGTTTATGCACCAGGATGGCGGCAAAATTTTAACATCAGAGACTTCTCAGCATTTTACAATCTTGGACCACCGGTTGCTGCATTATTCTTCAACTGCCAAAAGGAGAGTGGTGTTGGTGGCAGAAGGTAGGCACCGATGAAAGTTCATGCTTTACTTAAAAGATAGATATGATATAGGCAGTGACGGAGTTTCAATGAAAAATCAGGGGCCAAAAAGAATGTAAAGCTAAAATTTAATTGAGAATAAAAGCAATAGAGGGCAAAAACAATGTGAAAGTAGGTTAACTTGATAGAGTTTTCGAATCACAGAAATATATGTGCATAAATATATATAGGCAATTCCTATATATATATATATAACTATTGAAGGAAAAAACTGGAGTGGCCCTGGCCCCAACGTAGGTCCAAACCTGGAGGTAGGCACAATGTCACATAGGAACCAGGGGAGGGTGGGGGTCTCTGGCTGCATCAAAAACAGAATTCTTGACAATGCGGTTGAGAAGTACTAGACTCAGACATATAGTTAGCACAATAACATCTAATCTAAAGCAACCATGGGGTTACTAAGTTGATCTGGGGAACAGTTTATGGAGATTGCTGAAGTGTGAACGTCAACACATATATTCAGAAAGGGGGAATTTTGGATCAGACAAATATGCAAAAAAAAAATCATAATATAGTGATTTCCACATATTTAATCAGGGTATGAACTCTATATGTGAAGGGGAGCCTTGGCGCAGTGGTAAAGCTGCTGCCTTGTGACCATGAGGTCATGGGTTCAAGTCCTGGAAACAGCCTCTTACAGAAATGTAGGGAAAGGCTGCGTACTATAGACCCAAAGTGGTCGGACCCTTCCTTGGACCCTGCGCAAGCGGGAGCTACATGCACCAGGTTGCCCTTATGAACTCTATATGTACGAAATAATAATAATATTTTCATCCTTTTAACGATGAGCAATTTATTCTTACTAACTGGAGTACTTTGCAATACTTCCATTTCAAGAAAGAAGTGATATGGTAGAACAATACAAAGAAGGTTAGGGTGTTCTCCTCTCTTGATATATATACAAGAATGAGCCACATAGAAATTCAAAAACAGTGGCAACAAAAGAACGCTATCCCTTTATCTTCAAAACACCATCCCTATTTAATATGGAAAAAAATTAGCATGTTATTTCTAGGACAATGGCATTTCATTACCAGTTCTAAACAGATTCCTTTTCTGGATTAATAGGTTCCAAGGACCAGGCTGAGGGATGGATGCAGGAGGGCTCTAGAACAAGGTAGCACCATTTTCAGAAACTATATAGTCCACCAAAGGAGGGCGGGCCTGGCGCAGAGTCTCTCCACTTGTGGCCTGGAGATCCTGGGTTTGAAACAGCCTCCTTGCAGAATTATTATACAAGAGTAAGGTTGTCTAGAAATTTCCTTCCCCAGACCCGACTTTGTGTGGGAGCTTTCAGCACTGGGTACACCATTTTTATATAGTCCACCAAAGCTTTTGAGTTTTGACAGCCCACATAACACCACTTAACAATCCAGTAGTCCAGCAATTTTATATGAAATGAAGTATCATTGGGGTTCTCATACATCACATCTCTAAATATATTAATAAAATTAATATTATGTTTTATGATGTTTTTTTAACTGAGTTTATGATGTTCATATAAGCAATTGTGAGTGTAAGTGCGATCAGCTGTCGTGGAGCTTAGTGCAGGGTCAAAGTAAATTAGAGTGAGATTACTACATGTATCTCTCTTCTGTACATCTTTGCAATCCCATTAAGACTGGTCCTCTCTGTTAACTGGACAGAACTCCGCCACTGGTGATCGGATCACTCGGTGCTTTTCCTTTTCTGTTAGTGAGTGTGGATGTAAACCAGAACACAGCAACACTCATGTCTGGGACACAAACTAAACAGATCCCTGAGTCCATCCATGAAGAGGTCAAACTAAACTGCTTGAGCTCACTAAGACCACAAAGAACCAACCTGAACTTACCCCGGAGTGTCATATTGATCCAGTAATAAGCGGTTTCCTTGGACGGGGGCATGAACAATCCATATAAGCAGATCACATAGCTCGGTCCAAACAATGCATACTCGAATCGAACAGCACCTTTCAGCGACCAACAAATACCACTTGGTGTCTCATTTCAGCAACTGTGCGGCATTGAGCGACAACCTGTGGCATTACAAACAACGCCACAATTGCGTCCACGAGATTTATACGCGAGCTGACGAATTAAACACGTGAAGGTGTGCAAGCCTGAACTCAATCATCTTCTGACACCGCAGCAATAATTCAGAATTACCGATACAAATACACCAATCACGCCTAGATAACCAGGTAATCTCACGGGAGGAACATCGAAGAGGGAATAGGGACGGAGGCATTACCGGTCACGCGCTCCGACGGTCCGACCGGCCGAGACGAGCGCATTTCCAATTTTCAGCCGGTCCTCGGGCTCGCGGGGGAGGGGAGGGGAAAGGCGAGACCGCAAGAGCTAAGTGGATGAGTGGAGAGACCACTTTCCTCGCTCCGTCTCGGCTCCGGAGCCACCTCCGCCGGGTCCGGGTTTGGGTGTGGGCAGGGAGACGGTGGGAGAACGACGACATGGACGCCGGCGGCGAGGTCTGGGGCAGGAGTGGCCGAGTGGTGGGAAGTGTGGGTCGGGCCTAACCTCCAAACCTTAAGGCCGGGCCAGGGCAGGCCGAAACCGCCTGTGAGTGAGCCCATGCCTACTATGCCGGGCTGGAGGCCCTACTGGAAATATCTTGTCCCTTCAAAAATAATGATGTTCTAAAAAAAATTCGTTTACCTAAAAAAAATTGTAACTGTGCAAAAGTTGGCGTCATTTTAGAAAGACCATCAGGTTATAAATTATATCAAGCTCATCCAGTGTCCAAATAACATCATTGTAACTTAGAGATAGACATATATCTAATTCCTATGTTAGCCAACACATAACTCTAAACATTCCCTATAAAAATAAATAGAACATACTACACAACAAGAAAGCATATGAAAAGATTAAACCAAAGGAAATTATTATGATGGGCGTTGATGTTAAACATACCCTTTTGTTACTCCCATAGAGATGTATCCAGTCAACATTATTTCTCCTTTTTGTGTGGGGATTATTTTCTTTTACAAAGAGAATCCAGGTCTATCATAAAAGTTCAACAAAAATACAAAGCACCCAACATAATAAAAATTACATCAAGGTCAGTAAACCACAATACGAGTCATCGACGCATCATTGTTGTCACTCTTTTACCGGAGTCGGCCTGACCTTACGATGGCAACCGGGAAGACTTTTATGCAACTGCCCTAAGGACAAACGCCCGGGGCTGCAATCATCGGTGTTCATGTACATACGTGTTTCAAAAGTTCAAATTCAAAATTAGGTGATGTTGTTGGTCCCCACAAAATGGTCGACCAACTGATTGAGGCGAAGGCAAGAGTGTATCATAGGGCACCTCAACCGCGACCGAGACATGTTAGAGCAATATAATATGTTGTTCCGTTGTGACGCACCATTTGTAGTCCTGAAGTATAAAAAAACACGATCTAAAACAAATCAGTTGTAATGCATCGAAGTTTCAAAGCTTAATCTTTCAAAAGGTTCGTGCAATTCAGAAGGAGAAAAATCTAATTTGCACCCATGTTCTTTGGACTATAGAAGAGAGCATAATCACAAATACTAGAATGATGTACAGTAATAAACAGTTGACCAAACATGCACACGCATGTGATGGCGTACGTTGCCTGAGAGTGCATGCACTTCTATCCGACGACACACTGAATCGGTGACGGATTGCAATGTGCGTATCATTATTAGTTGCTGACTTTTGATGCTTTGACCTCACAACAACAATTTGAATAAAACACATGTAACGTAATACGCATATACGTACGCATCATTAAACAATCCAAGCAACACATTGTCAACTTACGAATCACTTATCAGGGAAAAAATATATACATATATGCACAAGTAGAAGATATGGTTCCCTCTCTTGATACTCAGACCGTAATAACTAAAACAAATAAAATAGCACTCCGTGACGCCATGGCAGGTAGCAATGGGTCTACCTGTACGGCGGTCCATAATCTCGTCTGGATGCAGGAAAAATATAATATCCTACAACTCTACACGCAACTAGAACTGAGAACGACAGCAATGACTCGCAAAAGAATATCACTGTGTTGATATTTGGTGATCTGTTTCCGACTCCAATATCTTGGGCAATGTCTGTATAAAGCTGTGTTGCGCACATTGCGTGGCGAAGAGCCCAAAATTTGATCACCCCATCGTCTAAAAAAAGGTAGCAGTTTTTTTTTTCTTTTTTTGCGGGTACCAAGGTAGCAGTTGTGTAATAAGAGAGTGGATTTTGTGCTCCTGGGCTAGCTTGCACTCGTTAGTTTAGTAGAAGAAAAAATGGAAAACATATCTTCCAAGTTCCAAAAATTCCTGATAAAATTTATGCCATGCACATGACAGCATACTATGCACCTGCAAAGTTTTTGTGAGAAACTATGATACTCTGTATTCTTTCATGCGCTTCTGGACTATATCAATTTTTATTATGTCCCATTGCAAGATGACCGGGGGAAAAATGTTGTTCTAAAATTTAGCCCGGCCAACTCATCAAAGCAAAAAAAAAAGTCCGGCCAAATAAAAAGTAAATATCTATATTATTCGAAAAAAGATACTACTACATAGTAGTAAATGATTTTGCACGAACTATGCTGGAAAGAGCTGTATTTCCGTGGGAACAAAACCAAAAATAAAAAAACGATGGCATTGTGCCACATGCAGCGCCTAGGGGCCACAAGGCTGGGACGCTAACCAAGTCGTCCGTGCAGTATAGCAACAACCATTAAGGGCTTCTTTGATTCAAAGGAATTTTATAGGATTTCTAGAGGATTGAAATCCTTAGGATTTTTTCCTATGTTTGTCCTTTGATTCATAGGATTAGATTCCATAGGAATTTTTCCTATGGAATATTTTGTACTACATTTCATAGGAAACCTAACATCCACTCCAACCTCTTTTTACAATTTCTTTGTTTTTTCTGTGACATCAAACACTCATTGCTAATCCTATAGGATTCAAGTGGGCATGCCACTCCAACCCTATACTTTTCCTATTCCTACATTTTTAAAATCCTACGAATCAAAGAGGCCCCAAAGGGAGAAGCACCTGCCCTGTACCTGTGCTGATTGAGTTTGAGAGCACCGGTATTTATTGCATTAGGACAGGTCTTGCATTGCTAGAGCTTTTAGGAAGACGAGTATCTGCAGCCGTTCAGCCCCTCAGGGCATCGAAAAAGAGCGGTCTGGGGATGAACTGGCGCTAGATTGGCCTCTGGGGCGACCTAGCTCCCAGCTACGTCCCCAGGCGACGCCTCCCAAGCCGCGGCAAATTCAAACATGGACATTCCCGCTCACAAAAGACGCCACAAGTCCGGCGATCACATCGGCCTAGTTCGGCGATCGGCGATCGTATGAAAAGTTCGGCGTACAAAAAAGAAAGGACGCGCGTGCAACGCTTCACACGGTGGGTCGGCCTCCGGAGTCGGCGTGTGCGGGCTTGGCGGTGTCGGAGCTGCTTCGGTGCTGGGCGGCGTCGGCGCGACTTCTGTGTTGCTGGGCGTCGTGGAGGCATCATCGGTCGGGCTTGGTGGCGGCGTGGGGTGGGCGTGGGAGTTGGCGGCGCCGTCAATGGTAGCTGGTTCAGGATGAGGACGCGCTCAGCCAAGTACCAAGCATTGACCGCCTCGTCGTTGCTCTGGAGCATGTCCGCCCCGCCCAGAAGGAAAGCCAGGTCAGTGTTCCTCTTCTTCGCGGCGACGTTCGTCCGGAGTAGGTCGAGCTTGACGGCACTGCTCGTCATCAACGCCGACCACCGCGCCTCGGTCTTCTCTTCACGTCATGCGGCCCGGGCATGTGCGTCGGCAAGACAATGCTCGATGGACTCCTGCACGCGCGCGGTAGCCGAGTCAGCGTGTTTCCCCTTCTTGGCCCCTTTGTTGCCTTCGGGGCGCCCCTCGCCCACGTTCAGCGTCGGCTCGTCCGGCTTGTAGGTCTCCTTGGCCTTGGCAAGGGTGCGTCGGACATCCGCTCACTTCTTGCACTTCTCGATCCGTTTGAAGATGTGGAGGTACTTGAATTCTTGGTCGCTACTGTCCTGGCGATACATGGCGAACATGCGCAGCAGCTACCACGAGGAACAAACAGTTGGTGCG